TAAAGTAGTGATTGATAAAATATATAATTTTATGATCCTAAAAAGTATAAAATGAACTAAATCACATCCCATGGGATGGCTTTTAACTTATAATGCCAATAAACATGTTTTATCTTGATACTTATCAGGTATACCGCAAGGATGGACAACCTTATGGAGAGGGACTAAAGTTTATTAATGTTTTGACTCTAGCATTTAGTTCACAATAAGGAAGAAGTAATATGCAAAAGTGTCATTCATGAGAAAGCACAAATTCAAATTTAACAAATTACAATCAATCAATTCAAAGGCAACCATAAACATCCAATATATATAATTCACTAAAATTATCTATCAATAATAAAAATTGCTTATTTAGAGGGGAGGGAAATCCATTGAACATTTAATTAAATTATAAAAAAAAAAATTTTACATTAGAAAAATTATCTTCATGGTGAGTTGATTAATAAGCTTAGATACCTCCCGTTACATGGCATCGAGCTAGATGATTCACCAAGGGATACTTCAGAGACAGGTAGAGAATCTATTAATCCACCATCATGTGTATTATCTTTAGCAGGTAAGTCCATTTTGGAACCACCATTTAGATTACAAAATGTTTTATTTTTCCCGGAATGTATATCTCGAACACCTATGCTGGTAGTTTGCTTCTCAGTACAGTTTAGTTTCTGTCTCTTTTTCCTGAAATAAGAATGACATGTTAACAACCTGATAGTAATAGTGAATAAATTTAAAATAAATAAAAAAAAAACATGAAGATTAATCAGTATATAATTAGGAATGCACACTACAGAATTCCCTCCCAATGTGCTTAAATATTCAAGCCACTAAGTTGTACATTAGTGATTGCTCAGCAAAAGCCACCCCACTTGTGAGCTTTCTTGATGTGATAAAAAAAATCAGGAATGGCCTTTGTTAAGGGAGGTTGTGTTTAATTAATTAGATTTATCTAGACGAACCAAATTTTATTTAGATTTGAAGACAAAATTTCTCAATGGCAAGCTATCATAACTAATCACCCCATAGATTTGTGGTAAATTTAAATTTAAAATACTATAGCCAATGTGAAGAGAAACAAAGTGAGATATCCAATATAAACTAACTTCAAAAATTTAACTTAACAAAAGAACTAGAGCACCAGGCATGAGCATAACATTGCTCTGGTGCTTGGAGGGCATAAGCGGAAGAGGAGAGGTACGCGATGGAGATGGTGCTAATGGGAATGGAAAGAAAGAACTCCTGTATGCTGAGGGAAAGCAGAAAATGACCAGAAAAATCCCTCGATTATTTGTGAGAAGTTGTTATAGTTCCAAACTATGTAAAAGAATCGATTTAATCACCAATCATTTCAAAATAAGAACAAAATAAATCAATCGAAATTGAAGTTGATGATGTTAAAAATGAAAATATTTTAGTAAAATATATTTTCCTAAAAATCGAACTTCTTACCTTATTGTCGCATGTACGGTAGGTAAATTCACATGTAACAAACAAACATTGAGATCATTCAGGTTGCAAAGCAAATTAATTTTTTTAATAAATAATTTGTTTCATATTTTTGCAATCTGAATTCCATTGCAACAAAATATAAAAAAATTAATTTTTTTCAACTGGTATGAGAATTGAGAGTGAAAGCATGGTCAAATATGGGTTGAATAAATAAATATGGCGCACGAGAGAAAAGGCATAGCTAAGAATGGGGATAAGGATAGTGCACAATAACAGAAGCAGGGTTGGGGTTGCCGACAATGAAGATGATGTCTCATGGGAGCAATGTTGCAAGCAAATGTAGACAGAGAGAATGGCGCATTTGGAATTCCATCAATTTGGTAGAATTTGAAAATTACAATATTTAAGGCCTTCCAAGATTCTTAATTTATTTTACATCAAACACTTAGAAAATTAAAGCCTATGTGTTACCTTTATTAAACACCTTCAATACTCGCAACCAAATGTAGATAGAGACCTTTATTAAACACCTTCAATACTCGCAACCAAATAGTCCCTTAGAAAAGCTAATTGAAACAAAAATAATAATTTTGAGATGAATGTGTCATTAGTAAAACAAAAAATGATTTAATGAAAAATAATAAGAATAAAAAGATGATGGAAGAAGCACAAGTGAAACATAAAACAGTGATAAATAAACTTCAATAATTTAAAATTAAAAAAGGAAAAAAAACAAATGCTAATTTACGATCCATAAAAGAAAAAAACAAATGCACCAAAAGTAAATTGAACAAATGTCATATGGAGACAAAAAAGCAAATTAAATGCAATAATGCTATAAACTATGCTTTAAAAACATGTATGAGATCAAATTGACACCTCATGTAGCACTCAACAGGAATCAATGAAGATACCATAAAGCGCATCCCTTATAATACTGATTAGACATATTACAAGAAACAAATTAATTTATAAAACCTTATGCTTGGATCGACTAGGTCATGAAAAACCAAGAGAAAATATTGCGAAAGGAAACATCACAACCGAGAGAAAATAAGTCGCTGCACACAACAAACATACATAAAATGATAACTGAACATAAAAGAATTGTTAGCAATAATAAGCATAAAAATAATCCTCTAGCGACATGTCAGTTTCTCAAAATATTTTCATACTTATTTCAGTGAAGGACATGTAAAGGACATCTAATAGTGCATTATCATATTACTAAAATAACCATACATGCTACATTGCAAATTAACTTTCACCTTTAACTATTGTATAGTCTTGCTTTGGTAGAAAAATTAAATAATTTCAAGATCAACTAGCATGTGATTCACTCAAAGCCTTCATACTATCATTATCATTGCTCAAAAAATGTAGAAAACAGCCTGTTTGATAATACTCATGACCAGAGAAGCATGATTAACGTTTGCATAAAATGTTAATCATCAACATTAAACATCTGCATGAAAAAAATGAACTGAAACATCATAAAATGGTGAGTAAACACAGGATAGTAGGAAAGCAATTCTTAAAAGGTGGTACAATCAGGCACATAAAGAGCATAAAAACGCATACATCGAATTGCAAAATTCAGGTGAATGCTCTCTATTCTGCTCCATTACACCAATTCTAAGAGACAAATTACTATCATGAGCAGCATTCTCATTGTTCCCATTTCCTTGTGAATTTGCTTCAAATTTCTCATCTTTCATAACATTATTGTTGAAAGGCATTCCATTCGCCTTCCCAATTGGAGGATCCTGTACAGCATTTTGACCATCACAAGGCGACAAATCATTCTTCTGCTTAGCATTCAGCAGTTTTACCCTAGCAGAATTAAGCACCTGGTTATTAGTAAAAATGGCATTTGACAGAAATAGGTGTATATTTATAACAAAACTTTGGTATTAACCTTGCTGTATATTTTGCAAAAAAAGACTAGATGAAAATGGTCACATTTGCAATCAATATAAAAAGTTGAACTTATGAGCTTAAGAGTAGTTTGGTTAAGGTTTGATTGGCTGTACAATAAATTATGGAGATCAACTCTTTGCAGTAGATTGGAAAAATGAATCTAAATTTTTTATTTTCTTAAAAAATTAGAGCACACAGACCGGGTAACAAGATAGCTAGCCCACTCATGGAGATGAAAGTCACAAAGATAGCCTTGTTGGAAGAGACATAAGACGAAGCCAGCGATTAGGGGGAGAGCCATGAAATGAGCTTAAGAGTAGTTTAGTTGTAAGTTTGATTGGTTGTAAAATAAATTAAAGAGATCAACTATTTGCACTTAATTAACTAATTTATCGGGGGGATTCCAAATGCGAAAACCACCAAAAACAAACTAAGATGGAATATCAAATTCCTTAATAAACTAATTAATATATATATAATTCTAGTCAAACACCTAAAGTAATAAAATCCATGCATTTGATTTACTGTAAACTCCTAAAATATATATATAGTTCTACTCAAACACCTAAAGTAATAAAACCCATGCATTTGATTTACTGTAAACTCCTAAAACATCCAGATTAAATACCCAAGATACTAACAATATCTAAAAAGTGACAAATTTGAATAATATAAATGCGCCTACATTACCTTACATTACCTTAATAAATACTAAGGCTGAAAAATCACAACCAAGTTCATAAAAGGCATTAAAAAAAAATGCATACATTGCTGAAGAGGATTTGCAACATGAACAAAAGACAGAACTACAAATCAGTAAACCAGGTTGAAGAATAACGACCTAAATAAAAGAAAACATTTCAATGATTTGTCAACCAATTATTGAGTTCATGCATTTAATTATCATTGTTTCTTCTTCAATCGTGTGTAGTCATTTATTAATTTATATAAAAAAACATGATTTTATTTATTTTTTTTATTTTCCATTAAAAAACCATTTCCTTGGGAGCTCATTTTACAACTTGTAAATTAAAAATAGAAAAAAATTCAAAATGGTCCCTGGACTATATATTATTCCTCCAGTCTTCATTAATGAATCCTCTGTCGATTTAATAAGCTTCTAGTTATTACCTACATAAAAATAATGATCAGAATCACTTAATTTCCAAGCATTGCATGCCATAATTTCAAACTTTGCAATGTCACTGTTGAACTAAACAGCCATGGTTGGAATATGTGAACAGCGTCTGAACAAAATACTTTGTTACGTAATTATGATATTTGAATCAGTATTCTCCTTGTTTTGTGATCATTCAGCAGCAATTTACTTTGAATTGTGGCCGTTCAACAGTAAAAGAATGTTCTTCAAAAAAAAAAAAGTGCCAATGTTAGTAATATTTCCATCAATCTTTGAATCAAAATTAAGCAATTAACCAACAAAGTTTCATTGATCCACATAAGATTCTATTCATTCAGCACAATAAATAGTAAATTGATATTTACTATAAAATGGCAAATTTTGAACCATACAAAAATAGTAATAAAAATCTACTGACAAAATGAATCTGAAACATTGAACACATTATCTTGCAACTCCAACACTGCCAACAAATAATGGAAGGAGATTTTGTTACAAAAAAGCTAACCTGATAATATCCTCATCGTTAAGGAAGCATGTTGATAAAAATGGCGGTAAGACAAAATCATCAATCTGCAGAAGGGCAATTAAAGCTTACCATTTCAAGCATGAACCATAGAAGTAAGTTATGACAAAAATCATTATTCCTTTCACATGATTAATGAGAATACAAAGATGAACTTTCAAACCAAAGTAGACTACAGATTGCAAGCTTGAAGTATATAGTTAATGCAAACTTGACCTATACCTCTAAAAAGAATAAAAAAA